ACACATGGGCTAAAATAACTAGCAAATAAATTAATAAAAATAATATTTAATTTCATTTGTTATTTAATTATAATTCTAAAGTAATTAAAATGAAAGATTTGAAGAAAATTAATTATATTCTTATTTAACTTTTTATTTTTTGGCCAGTGGGAAATTTAGGGGATGGGAAAATAGTTACAATATTGTTGCACTGGCAACTTGAACCCTTAACAAAAACGCCAAGGGAAACGTGCACTTCCATCACGGCTAAATTTTTGGAAACCTAGCCTTTGAGGTGAGGCCAACCAAATCAAATTTTTGGAAACCTAGCCTTTGAGGTGAGGCTATCAACTCAAGTTGAATTATTTGTTGGATGGGACTCGTATTTTACTAGTTCCTTCTAAGATAGCATTCGATCCCTGTCCTTATTATACCAAAAGCAACGCTGCTAGTCTGGCGCTGGTTTCAAACAAAATTTGCAACATTATGAAAGAAATTTTTTTAGCGTTTTGCTAATTTGTGAAAGAAGTGTTCGTTGATTTAGCTGTGGCTCAAAGAAAGAAAGTTCCTTCTTTGATTTATAAAATATATATTTCTGTCAGGTGGGAACATTGGGCATAGTAGATGTCAATCCCACATCGGTAGCAGATGAAGGAACGCATTGAGACAAGCTTATAGATGAAGGGCGTCCGCGTTCAGTGTCCTCCAAATCCAATAAAGCAAGGCCAAGGGTGTCAGCCGCGATTAAGCAGCGCCATGTCACACAGCGCGAGTTCAGGGGCCCAAGTCAGGGCCATCGTGACACAGAGTGGCAGCCACGACACCCTTGGTGGCGCAGGTGCGAGCGTGACATGAAACACTCAAGAGGCGGGCCTTGCATGAGTTGGTAGTGTCAATGCCAAGATTGTGGCATGGGGTCACGGTTGAGACATGCAGGCATGCGTGGAAGCAGCCAAGAGCATCCGCAAAGCGTGCAATGCCAGTAGCGGAAGAAGTGTCGCCACGCGAAAATGCACGGGATTATGGTGTCGACACCTTTGTGATGGACTAGAGCATCCTAGAAAATTCTAGAAGCTGGGCGCGCAGGAATGGCTCTAGACAGGGGTCTAGAAGGGTCCATTGGGCCAAACTCATGTAAATATCTTCCTAGGGCCTCGTACATAGTTCTAGAATGAGATGTTCTAGAATAATGTAGGGTTAGGCTAGGAGGGAGAGTGGAGAAAGTTCTAGAAATTGTACATAAGAGGGAATTTTGTGGAGTATTTTAGAGACTCATCTGCAGAAGGGATTTGGGCCAAACCTCTTCTATAAATAGGGAGGCCAAATAGAAGAGGGGGGGAGGCTAGAGAGTGAGATGCTAGGTGAGTGAGTGCATAGAGGGGTTGTGTATTGAAGCTCTTGTACACTTCCTTGCAATCTTAATCAATTCTCTTTTTCTTCCAATTTCCTACCTTCGTATTTTCGTGTTGCTAACCTTGAACCTAAAAGGAAGGCCACACCAAGTGTTGGGGAAGGCTGATTTGGTTCGAGTTTAAGGGATTATTTCCAAGTTAAGTGTCGCACGGGATCTAGCTAAAGACTTGTCCTATGACAGCAAGCTCTAATACTACACTGGTGTCAGCTAGTCTGGCCTAAGGGGACTACCGAGCTGTAATCAAGGTGTATGCCGAAGAGTGAAATGGGTTAACCATCATATTTGATGGCCATGTAGGGCTAAAACTAATAGCATTTAATTTTACCATCGTAATAAAAAATCATGATTTTAGTGATGAAAAAAATAGATACAATTATTAATTTTTATAACGATTATATATGTCACAATTAAGATTATTTGTAACAAAATAATTGAAAACAAAATGTTTCTTTTAAAATATTTATATTCTGTCACAAAAAGCAAAATTTTAATGAGCAAAAATCATCACAAATTTATTTATAATAGAATTTTTAAGTTATTAATAATTTTATTTCAATTTTAAAAAATAATTCCCTAAAAATGAAATTAAAAAATTTTTTGATATAATTTTTAATATAAAATTAATTATTATTATTTTAAAATATATATTTAATTAATTCAAATAATTTTAAGGAATAATTATTATAAGAATCATAAAGTGTTTAAAAGCTAGTAATAAAATTATTTAAGCCAAGCCCAACACTTTAGACTTTAAAAATTTAACTAACATATTTTAAATATTTTCTTATATAAGATGTTTGTACGTTATATTTTTTGTTTTTAAGCGATGTGGGATCTAGTTGTGCTAATAAGTTTTACTTTTTATTTTTAGGTGATGTGAGATTTTTTTTATTCTACAATTTTACTTATATATCAATAGAAAAATAAATTATCTATCAAATAAAAACAAAAAAAGAACTCATTCAAGTAAAAATAAAAAATAATATATTATATATGATGAGTTTAATTTTTATACATTTATCTACTTCTTTTTTTTTTTTTAGTTTGAAAATTAATTTTATGGGTATTTTATAACTTAGTCTCATCTAAATTTATATGAATCTCATTGTTTTGTAGGTGATGATTAAAGAACAAATTTAATAGAAATTTCCTATGTCTCTAGCTTTGCAGAGCATTTTCTAATACTGTAGAACATTTTCTAGAACTTCAAATTATCACCCAGCACCGTAGAACATTTCCAAATTTGTAGGATATTATGGCTAGGAAACATGTTGCAATTTCAATTTTCAGGTAGTTCTACTTAAACATCAAACGATCAAGGTTGCAAGGTTAGCATCAAAAACAAAATCAAGTGCTCCATTCGTAAGCTCCCAAGCGGTCACCCTTCCTTCTCCCATCACCACTCTCAAGTCTATCCTTTTTGTCTTTGGAAGAATTTCAAGATTGGAGTTGCTGCACTTTTAATTTTCAATATGAGGATTGTTCATTATAGAGTAAAGATATACACTAGAGATGAAAGAGGTCACATTTACCGTCATTATTATCATGTTACAATGATTTATGTATGAATGTGATTCTCACGTTGTAATCTTTAAACCACATGCATTTTCCATTTTTGTTGCCCCTCCTTAACAACGTACAACTTCTCCTCATCATGTTTTTGATAGTTGTGTAATCATCTTGAACCTTTGGAGTCCTGCCATTGCTACCCAACTTTACCGGCTTGGCAGGAAGATTCAACTTTTTAAAAGCTTCGCTGGAAAGTGCACCGTGAGATATCATCGCCCAACAGAATGGGATGGCTTGTAACATGTAACCTTCCGCACATGAGATGGGTGCCGCCGAAAGAACCCCTCTCATTTTCTATGGAGTCATCCTAGTCAGCCCCCATCTTGTCACCGCTGTTGACTCATCCACCTACATCACCAACAGTCCCAAACAACCTCAAATGTTGACGAAAAACTTTTCAACAATTATCGAACACAAACCCCTCACCACTTCAAACACTTTCTTTATAAGGCAGAAGCAACTTAATAGTAGGAACAAATGACGAACATTTTTAATTCCATCACCACATATTTTACATTTTGTCAAGTTGTAATTCTACAAAATCTCCCTCTTGAATTAATTATGGTCATTAATTAAATGCAATTTCTTCATGCATGGAGTTGTTGATGCAAGTATACTATGAAAGTAAGTGTCCCTATATATGATTATGTGCATGTAAGGTATTCCTCATGCAAGTATGTTGTATGCTTTTATCTTTATCTATATGCTTAAGTGAGGTAACTTTTTGTAGAGTTAATAATAGTATAGGGATCTAATATTAATGTAACCCTATTTGTAAGGCTTCTTCAAAGAAATTAATAAAAAAAACTCTATTGGAATGTATATTTGTTTGGATTTGGTGTAAGAAATAATTAAATATTTCATGAATAGATAATAAATAAGTTATTTAATAAAGTTATGAGCACTTTAATTGACCATAGTTTTTATCGTATTGAAAGAATAAATTTTTTTTTAAGAATAAAGAAGTAGGTGGTGCACATCTTTTTTGAATTAATCTAGTTGAAAATTTATATTTTAATAAAATTCTTTTTCACTAATGTGTGATTGCTATTACCATCACAATCTTTAAAAAAAAAAAAAAATTCTCAAGTTCAATTATAACCTAATTGTTACATAAAGATTTGTTAATTATTATGATTTGCTTTTGTAACAAATTGTATATATCATCATAAAATATAATTGTTACAAATGAAAAAGTTTAGTCACAAATACGATTTGGTACATGTGACAAAAATTAATAATTTGTAACTAATATTTTATTAGTAATTAATAGTTAGCTTAGAGTAACTATTTTAATTATAACAAATTTATGTTATTTATTGTGATGAATATTTTGTAAGTGAATGTAAGTTTTATGTCAAAATTATATATTTGAATTTCAAAAATTAGTATTAAAGGCAAATGTTTTGATATGTTTACAAATGTAAAAGATATTAATGAACTAGAAATCAGCCACCATTTTTAATCAAAAAAAGTTCGTTTTCTTGCAATGGGCTGAGGTAAGTGAGGCTTTTTTTTTTTCTTTTGTTTTTTTTCAACATAATAGGAGTTAAGAGTTAACTCTTTTTTATTACTTAACTTACCTTGTATGTCATGCAGCTTAAACTTTAAAATTTTTGCTTTACTTGGAGAAACAATCAATACTAGATTACTAAGGTCATCAGCACTAAAGTAATATTGTGACTTATAAAAAAATAACTAAATCTCTAATTTGATATCTAAACCATTATACAGATCCCAAATTTGATTCTTAAACTAAAAAAAATCCTTGATTTGGTCCCTAAACTATTATACAGACTCTCGATTTGGTTCCTATTTTTTATCAATTTGCCTCAAGTTAGTTATTCCATACAAAAAATAGTTGACGTGACTCGTTATTAACGTGAGATGTGATCATTAAGTAACTATTTTTCATTATTAAATAATGGACATGTTAGTTGTTTTTTGTACAAAAGGACCAACTTGATGCTAAATCAATAAATAGTAAAGATTAAATTAGGGATTTTTTTAGTTTAAGAACCAAATCAGAGATTTGTATAATAGTTCAAAAATCAAATTAAAGGTTTAATATAAAAAAAATTAAATATGATTTTTGACTCTCAATTGCTCTAAATTTATACTTACTGTATGTAGAATTATTAAAAATACATTAGTATGTTTAAATTTAATTCTAAAGAAATTAAATATGTTTTTTAATTTGAATTGCTCTAAATTCATGCTTACTGTATGTTGATTTATTAAAAACATATTAGTATGTTTAAAGCTCAAATTAAACTTTTTGTGTTTGAAAGAAATCAAGATCTAATATTTAACCACTTATCGTGACTGTCAAAGAAATGGAATGGAATCTGCCATATAAATATAACAATTTTCAATTTTCTTTTTCTTTTTTTTTTTTTTTCCTTTGGTACGGAAACAAATTTATGTTGTTAAACGTGTAACTGTAGAATTTCCAACGGGATTAACAAATTATGTCGTTTTTCAAACGAGGTACAATAGTAGAGCAACTGTTGCGATCCTAGCATTCACCACATATGAATCCCACCTGACAAAGGCACGTTCCCTTTTGTACTAGTAAGGAAACGTGGTCTGCGGTTTACGTGAGGCTATCAAGAGGCCGTAACCTTCTCCATCTGCAACAGCCATCCATCACATGATGCAGCCGCTCCTTATTTTGTACCCTTCTGCTTTTATACGAGACACACACGCTATGAGTCTCTATCACCGGGCAGCTCAAGCTCCCCCACTTGCTCAAAATATACGACTTTCTTAATCTGAAGTTGTTAATAGCTAAT